AAGTAGTATCAATTTTAATGATTTCATGGCGTCGCTAACTGAAATAAGTCACGTGGTTCTTGATTGTCAATCAATTGGTATAGTCTACATTTGTGGTCCATAATTCATCATGCATTTTCCATGATCAGATTCAGAAAATGGAGGAAATAGATTGCTAAACCCCACGCCCTCCTCCTCTTTTGAAAACTGTTTTTGTAAAGTCTGTCCTTTTGAATATTCAAAGTATTAATTCAGGTGTGAGCTAACTTCGAAGCAATGGGATTGATATAAAATGTCATTTTAAATCCCGAATTAATAGTCTAGCTTACTGACGATACGATGCAGCTTATAATAATTATAGTACAATTTCTCGCGACAAATTAATTTTTCGTGATGTAGTTCTACCTGTCACTATCATTTTGTGGTTTGCAGTAAAATGAGCAGTTTAAGGAACTAAATCGCTAATATTTGGGACCTATAGAAATTAACACCGAGAGGGAGACATGGGGTTTAACGTCCATTCGACACCAACTATGTCATTTCGGGACTGGCCAACATATGGTTCAATTTTATTTCAATCATTCGCTTGCGCGTTTTGGTCTTTAGCTGTGGGAGGAAACTGGAGGACCCGGAGAAAACCCACAAAGTTGGACAAGGCGTCTCTACTCATTGTCACGTAGAACCGGGGAATCGAATCTACTCCAGTTGACTCAATGACATAGCTAATGTTACAGCGCGCACGCGCTAACCACTGGACCATCCAAATGGATAGCAACGCAATGCAATATGACTCTATGTAAACTGATTTACATTCAATCGTTTCGGGTTTTACTGTAAATTCTTATCAGTTATGTTCGGCGAAGTACGCCAGAAGTCTCAGTCGAATGACAATCCGTAGCGTCTGGTTTTTCCAGTCTACACCGATAGTATTTGTTGCGCATGCTCTAAAGATAAGAATATGAGGTCACTGTTTGACATGATTCGTGGAATATGTCTACCCTCGTTCTTCGAGTCCCTTGTTACAAATTGGAAACAATGGGAAATGTTTATTTTGTCTTAAATATTGGATATCAGAAGCTCATCTTTTCCCGGTAAGATAACAGCATCAATGTTGATTTAAATTGGCAAATAATTCCTGTGTTCAATGTCGAAGACTTTGGATGATACTGAGTTAGGGATTTAACTACTTTAAGGGCAGCTTCTTGTAGTGTTTAATTCATTCATTAAAGATACATTATGGGAGATTCGATAACGAGTTGGCAGTTCTCACTATATTAGTTAAAAACTAGATAATGTAAAGGCAATTTGCTGAAAATTTCATTCAAATTGATCCACTATGAACCGAGAACTAAGCGGTTGGAATTTCCGCCTAGCTTCGATCATCATTACTAAAGTCAGTACAATAAACAGCATAGTCTCGATTATCCATTTGATTGTTAAATCGAGAAGGAAAGTTATGCAGTAAATCGGCTCATAATCCAGTAAAGATCGCAGGCTAGCATAACCATATAGAGTTGATTATGGTCTGGATATGTTAATTAAAGTCTAATTAATAATTTAGATAACAGTTCAAGCCTAAAGAAAGACCTGCAATAGACAGATTTGGCTCTTGCATAATGTATGTTTAAGAATGCAGCCATTCACAAATTAAAAACTTTAATTTCTCCATGCCTTGGCAATGGAAATGGTCTTTTAAAAGAGGCAAGTCTCTAACTCAATATCATCCAAAAATTTCGACATTGCAAACACGACGTATTGGTCGATTTAAATCAACATTGATGCTGTTATCTTACCGTGAAAAGATGGGCTTCTGTTATCCAATATTTAAGACAAAATGAAAAGTTTAAAATTGGCACACAAATCGCGTGCAAGAATGCTTTGTAATGAAACGACTCGATGAACGAGGCTAAACATATCCCACAGGAGAATGCGCCAAAGACTGCCATTAAGTTTGGATTCTTCGCGTCGTATTTCGCCAAATAACTGATTACAAATTACAGTAAAAACAGAAACGATTGAATGTAAATCAGTCTATATACATGTACATTGATATTACATTATTGTATGCGTTGCGATCCATTTGTGTTCATTTCTATGTGCCAAAGAATATATATAGAGATTTAGCTCCTTACGTTAACAGTTTTCTTACGTTACTAAAAGTTTTAACTAACATTATGAAGGTTTTAGACAGTGCTTATTTCTTTAAAGGCCGTTTTCTTATTTTCAAACTATAAACATTATTCAAATATAATTTGATTTGATAAACAATACAAGCCTTGTGTGATATTTTCATTGTCTTTATTTTACATTAAATCGCAAGTGGCGTTTTAAATACAAAAGCAAAGCAAATTGTTTAAACTAAATAAATCTTTTGTCTCAGATTTGAATTTTTAAAACAAAAGAATTTGTAATCGGCGAATGCTTAAAACACTGTAAATGACAAATGGTTTGTCACATGACTGTGCGTTAGTTTGATTGATGTTATTTGTGTTTTGAAACCCCTCTAAAATGTATTCTCTTGCTTTGCATTTATGATAAACGATGATAGTTACTTTATTAAAACTGCATATCTGTCAAGCAAGCTTATCATATACTAGAAAAGGGGGTCGCGGCGAAACGCTAACAAGTGGGTTTTGGGTTCGTCCCCGGTGTTGGCTGAATACGTTCCTCTGGATTTTCTGGCGTGGTTCCCCCTTGTCAGTGTTGCAGGAAGGAGGGCTAATCGTTAGGATGTGGCGGTAAGTCCCGCGTAGACGTATTCATGTACGTAAAAGAGCCATTAACAGTTGTTATTCGGCCTGGCGTATGGCCGTCTTCTTTGGGACTTTAAACCCGATTTCATTTCATAATAGAAACGCAGGGTTAAGAAGTTTGGATGAATAATTAAACAATACCGTTTTCTTCGGGCTAGTCTTTGGAACACGTCTTTAAATATCAATAAAACAGCGTACTTTCTTTTTGTTTTTGCAGTGTCCAAGAAATTGTCTTGTCTGAGATCTGTTGGAGGCAGGCCACATTGTACATAGAAGAAATTGCATTGGTGAATACCGTAGAAGAACTACGTGTACATTAATGGATACCGATATATGAGAAATAACTGGTGGTCTGATGGAGGCAGACAATCATTAATTTCCCCACTGACTTCAATGTCAATTCTGTCTCTTTGCCCGGCTCCAATTTTTCACCATGGTTTTCACTACAAAGAGAAACAAAGGGCCATGTATTTGCACCAAAATTTGTACGAGTCTGGCCAACAAAACTTGAAGTAGTATACTAAACGCATGTAGATATTCGCTGTACATATCACCGTAACCAACCTGATGACTCTGTTATCCTTCCGCCTCTAAATCATGAACATTTACCAAAACCTGGCAGAAAATGTTAATTCAAATCTTCTTCGCCCATCCTAGACCAAAAAATGAACAAAAATGGGCATACTAAAGGGGAGAAAAGCGGTGGGGGTGCTATAAACAGACGAACTACTACAAAATAGTGAGATTTCATGGTGATTTGCCTCTTTAATGGTGGTCTGCTTCCTGATCTTTCGCAGATTACCTCCCCTTATCACTGAATTGTCAAGATTAGACGACTGGATTGGTTGCAATATCGTCTGGAGGTGGAAGTGGACGTAAAATCTCCGTTTAAACAACAAATTGCATGGCACCTATAATTCTTGGAAACCTATTGTGTCCATTCGCTAGAAATTTCGCATTCGTAGCCATTCTTGGTGTGTAACATCACCTGGTCGTTTTCGACCAGATATTATAAATGCAAAATAATTATTCACTAGAATCACCCGACAGGTATAAATCACCCCCACACACCCTCCCCGTGTCTCTATTATAGTGTTTAAAAGTTTAAAATCCGAAGTTTTGCAAGAGCTCATACATTGCATTTCTAGCCGTCTGGTTATGCCATAGATTGTAAATGACCCATTAACATATTGAATTCAAAGAAGGAGAAGCAGAAAACAGGTACACGAAACACCGGAAAACATAGAATCCTCATGGTTAGTCTCAAAATGGCCTGTGTGTTGACGAGAAGTGTAAAGTCAACTCCATTCTGTCGGAACAATGGACCCATTCAAAATATTACACCTTTTATTTCTATGCGGACATTTCTAATTAGAAGTTAGGGAAGTAACCGTTTGCAGACTGGCATATTAGGGTCGAAGACATCTAAAATAGACTTAGGTTTAAAATGGCGCTCATGGCACAATTTTGGCAATCCTCTCCACTACCCCTTCTGTCTACAGGCATCCATATATGTTATTTACAGGACGTAAAGAGCCATCACATTGTTCCCTCGATTCACAATCCCTTCTGTGATTGGTTTCCGGAAAACGTATAGTCAATCGGGTAGTATGAAAAACCCGAGGTCCTATTTACACATTGGCGTGCACGTAAAAGAAAACTTGACAGAGAAATGGAATTCGATATAAGAGTAGGCCGTAGTGCCGCTGTCCGGTCAAAATTTCCATTACTGTATGGCGTATGCCCGTCTTCATTAGGCCAATCTGTGCAGAAGGGTAGAATGTTAATCCCCATATAATTTCATCTGTCTTTTGTGCTATATTCAATGTAACTTAAATTATCCTGTTGATGTCCATTTAAGGCAGACTGTGCTGTGGGAAAGGTGGGCAGGGAACTACTGGAACGATAGCTTTACGCACTTGCCCTTGTAAGGGTCATCTTTAGATTTTACAGAACATAAAATACTGGATTAGAACGGAATGGAATGGAGCTGAAAGTCACGTCAACAATCTTTCGACCATGTTGTATGTTTTATTTCCATGGTAACGTGGGCAATTCAAAAGGGAAACGTTTGCTCGGGTAGGGGCCTTTCCGCTTCCTCTGCTTCGGGGTTGGTCCTCGGTTTTTTGTCTCATCCGAGTCCACCTAGCTGTGAGAACCGGGTTTAAAAAATCCCTAATGATATACGAATAAAATCGGGATTCTAACCCGGTACATTCTCGAACAGAGGCCAGTGAAGTAAAATAGAAAATACAGAACTTTGTAACAACACATTTATTATATTTTATCATTCTCCTGATAAATTAATACCTTTAAAATGAGATGACTTGACAAATAAAAACTCGGCACATATTTGTACAATAATAATGATATCGATGTGTGATCAACATGCAAATCAAAAACTTATTTAATTAATATTTTTGTTAAAAAAAGAAAACATATTTTACCTTTGTATCGATATAATATTATGATCTTCATTAATCATATAGTGAACCTTGTAAAAAGTTAAATTAAAAACCACAACCCCCAAAATTGGTTCATTTCTTACTATACGTGACATCTGCACGTAAGCCTGTTATCAAAATTCAAATATTTAAAGATGCTCTATTTGATAACTTTCTCAAACTTACGGATATGTAGAAAACCTTGAATATGAATTTTTCATATAAAAGCTCGTCATTCAGTAATACATCAGATAATAAAATAATCTAAGTATAGTATAAAGCTATGTGTTCATTTGAAACGTACCGATAGTATCTTTAACAGGGTTTTGTTGTAACCCGTATTTTGTGGGAGTAATGACACTGTGGGGTTTTTTTTACCCAAGCAACCTCCAGAATTAAAGCAGTGTACGTTTAATTACTTCTTATTTAAAGTCTCCGATCGTCAGTTAATCCTTTGCAATATTGTTAAAGTTGGGCCTAAAATAGTCCAGTTCCATGTGAACAAAGAAACAATAAATTCGGTATCCAAGCCGGAACATTATCTACCGTTGATATTTTGATTTTATTGTCTTAATTAAATATCCAATAATCCTTTTCGGTATATTTTATATTTCTATAAAAGAAAGCTAAATGACGATCAGCGACTTTTAAACAATTCATATAGCCCATATTTTTTATTATATTAGTATTAATTGTATCCAACGCAGGCAAATTTTCCTAAAAGCGAAGATTATAATATTATATAGATCAAGCTAATCAGAACCAGTCTCCTAAAAAGTATTAAACCTTGAGCCGACTTAAAATGTTGCAAATGGTATTTTACTTGTGGCAACAAAAATACAAAAAAAATATCAAAGAGAAAGATGCAAATTTATAATTTTGTTGCTTTTCATATAAAATATTATGTGGTTTATTTTGAATTATTTACAAATGGTTATGTATTTTTAAGCCGACTTTTAAGTTGAGATTCTTTTTGAATCGATAAAGACAATAAATATTTTAACAAAATATTCATATTAATCAATCATTAGGACCCGCTTTGATTCAACAGAATATCTTAATCTGCAACTAGCCACATAAATTATTCTAAAATATATTTCATTGGTTCATTACTTTCCTTTTAACACAATAAATAATTCTAGTTTTAAATGAACGACAATAAATGTTGATGCGTTTTGAAAGATGCCTTAATATTTACATACAACAGAGCAGTGTTATAAACACTCAGGCTATTCAAATAGATTCACTTTTATCGGAACTTAACCTGTCTTAGTAAATTTTATTTAATTAAATCGGTATCTAAATATTAACTACGGAAAATCCCCCAAATAACTGAACTTGAGAATTATTTTGAAAAAAACAGAACATATTTTATACAAGTTGCTAAAATTATATAAATAACAAGAAATGAAAAGAAATATTCAATCTTTTTTTAAGTTTAATCTTGCAGTAATATCAACTTATTGATGAAACTAATCAAGTTTGCCTCAACGGTCGTGTCGTCTTTATTGTTATTTTTTTATAATAATAATTCACACCGGAGTCAGACAATTAAGTACAACTACTTCTAGCACTGGAGAAAAATGGTTGACATCAAATACAAAATGTACCTTTGATAAACATTATAAACATTATACTTATTCTACGACATAATACAACAATTATATTCTTATAATCACCTACGCCATATTGTTACTTTTACTAATGGTTTTCATGGAGACGACTGTTTCCTAAATTTTTCGACTGTTTCAGATCATCAGGATTATCGCATTTTTCTCCTTAACAAAAAAGAAATATACAGTAACACGTATTTTGTAACATAGCACTGATATTGGTAAAAATCAACACAAGAAAGTTGTAACTACAAAGACCGAAACGTTTGAACATATAAGAACAGCACTTAATAGGAAAACAAATAACAAGCTATTATCTTTTACCTAAAAAAGAAATGACAATAAAATGACATCAAAACTTCAGTGGCAAGAGTTCGGCATTTCTAAATCCTCTTTCAAGAGAATATTGTCCTTATTTATCTTTACTATTTTGACGATTCCTCATTGCGTTGGGCCGTAAAATGTATACAATTAATTTTCGGAGATAACAGATAAAATACACAATGACAATACTATAAGTGCAGGTCCATTCATAATTAACACTTTCTCATTCTCTCTCCCATTCATTCATTCGTCAAACATTCAATTTATGCATTCTTCTATCATTTGAAGTCATCATGCTGAAGAAGTATTCCTTTGACGACAACCACAAATACATTGATGCGGCCATAGTCTATTTACGACAATCACAATTCAGTTTTGTGTCAATGCGTGTTTGTTCGCTTGGCTGCAGTTCTGAAAATTTAACTGGATATTATATGGACGACACGCAAGACCAGTTTATCTATTTTTGTGTACAGTTTATGAGACGAAACGAAGTTTTGTGTTTATGAAGGAAATATACTATTGTCCTTAACACGACCACTGTTGGTGGCGCATTACTGATCCTTTGAACGCCTCTCTCGGATCCGCCCAATGTGTTCATAATTAACAACCTCCCTTCACTGTCTGGCATGACCAAAGCTTGACCCACCAACGCCCGGCTTCAGCCTAGTCTTATGTTGTTTGGCATTTAATATCAAAAAACAACAACTTCATCCAATCACAGACACAATTTCATTTTTCTGCGACACTGAAATGAGCGTTACTTTAAACCGGAAGTGAGCATTAAAAGGGAATTAAGAGTTAAACATCTACTGCCGTACACTGTCTAATGTGAGGTTCAGATTTAGGCTGGATACAAGAGTCTTTACTATCATCGTCACCAACCCGCGCTTTAGTTCTCTCAGTTAATTTCTTTCGTTTCATTCGTCGATTTTGAAACCACACTTTAACTTGTCTCTCTGATAATTGAAGTTTACACGATATCTCCCACCGTTTTTGACGAGTTATGTATGAGCTGCTTAAAAATTCATTTTCCAGGACCATTGTCTGGTAACGTGTATACGGCTTTCTCTTTTTTCTGCCCTTTGTTTCTGAAATGGATAAAAAAAAGAGTTTAGAAATAAAACAACAGAAACAAAGCAAAACAAAGTAATGAAAGTTAGTGATCAAACCCTTGTCCAAAATATTTTGAATGGTCGAAGTATCTTCTTCAACAGATATGTCAAAGAATTCAATATGAAATTAAACTCTGAATAGAAACAAGGCTTCAGTTATGATTTACTTCAATATCAATATGGCTTCGAATTCCCCTAAAAACATTATGTGGATATGAATTATGATTATGAATATGAATTTATGGCTTTAAATATGAATTAAGATTTTGACTATAAATTATGACTTAGAATGTGAATTATGACTTGGAATATGAATTATGACTTGGAATATATATGTTTTATAAGATACATATTGTGATAATTTATAACTTGATTATCTTTAGTTATAAAACTAAAGAGTAGTCGCATATGTTTATCTCGTCGTTGAAGAGGAGACGGAGCCGTACTTTAGTCGTAATATCTTGATTTACGGCCCCTTACTTGTGAAATTGATGTTATCCTTATAAAGCATTTATGAATATTCATGCGTATTTATAAAATTCCACAGTTACGTTACAATGTGGATTTTTTTTTTTTACAAAAAATGAGTGTAGGGGATTCGTAATATCTACTTTGGGCAAATTCAATTCGGCAAATATTTGTTTGTCATCATTAATGTGAATCATGAAATTATGAAATATACTTTTATGGTGATACATTATCGCTGAGCTTAAACAAAATGCATACTAGTAGCCTATATATAAATTTGGGACAACAACTATCCTTTCGTTATCTAATAGTTAAATTTTCTAAAAAAAACACCTTAAGTGAAAGAACAATTTGTATTTTTTGGAAACTGTCAATTTTGCACAGCTTAATTAACGCGAAATGTACTCAAATTGATCATTTAATTGAGATAACAATATCAAAACACCAACGCTAGATAATCTTCCGGTTTGGATTCGATCGAATTAACATGGGGTCCATCAAAATATGGTAGCGACGATTATATATGGCGATGGCGTTTGACCATATTCCGTTTATATCGCCCGCAGAGGAGGTTGAATGTGTGGCAGATATTCAATTTATCGTAACCTTTGTAAATACTGAAGGACATTTACTCATTTTCGAACTGATATTCCTTCCAGAGATTCTATACTTTTTTTGATGTAGTTTGTAGAGATTTCTTAATCCCTCAAAAGACATTCAGAGACTTTATTATTTTATATTAAGTAAATCATTCTTTTTTCTTTTTAAAAATCACAGAAAGACAAAATTTAAAAAAAAGCTAAAACAAGAAAACAAAAAAGCCCATAATATTATTCAATAATACACAAATTATATGCACTTATATATTCAATAAAATAGTCAGTAAATCTTTTTATTTTAAAGAAAATCGACAACATATCCATTGATCATATTTAAATATGTACCTATATAAGTTGTGAAAGGTCGAGAAAGTATTATCATGATTAATCACTTGTCTATATCATAAACATCAAAGGAAAAACGCCGGGGGTTATCACCTCGATGTTTTTAAATAAACACAGGGACTTGGGGCTATTTCTTATATATCTAGCTCAGACATTCAAATATGTATTCTTGATTTTCCACTTAAAGTAATATTTCAATAAACGGTTGATTTCATATTTTTTCCTAAAGTTATGATTTTTCACGATTGAAAGTCTAATTGTTGATGACGGATGATGAAATAGATGTAGTTATGTTTAAGACATGATTGATAGGTTGTCAATTTCAATGATAGCTATTTTACAATCATCGAATTATCTAAGATTTATTGCAACTATATAACTAATATCGTTACATTTTTAAAAATCGTAATGATATCGGTCTCATTTTAAAACTAATTCAAGTATTATATTTATACTATTGGTAAGGATTTTAAAATATTTATTTATATGTTTCTAATACCACCATCTATCACAATTTAAAATATTTGTTTATTTATATGTTAGGCTAGCTTGAACGAGATATTACAGCTATATATATCTATATTTCATCTTATTTAGTGGTTTAGTAATAACTTGAGATAAACTGGGCGTCTACTTGGGCTTCGTTATAATTTCCCTCCAAATTTTTTTGAGAACCGAAGAAAAATTTAAGATAAACAATATGCCGTAGTGCATCAAACAGCTTTCGTGGTGCTTAAACCAACCCCCACCCTATACCCAGAAGTGAAAGGACAAAAAAATATCACTACAAACGAATACTACACAAGTTGACCATGTGTAAACAAATTCATTGATATATTTATTACAAATCATAACCTAAAACCTTGACCAACAAATCCGGCCATTTTTAGATTCAATCTATATTTAGGACTAATCTTTGATAACATTTTAGCACGTGTGTTTAGAATAGAAATATTAACTGACATCAAACAATTGCGACACACTATCATGTTTATATATTATCGATTATAATAAAAACTAACTACAAATTTCCAATTACTATATTTTGTCCTTTGTCTATCCATCCATCATGCTATTTAAGAACGAGTTATTGAAAACTGCTTATATTTATTAATGAGTGATTTTTCATAGATCTTTATATCAATGTTTTTCAAAAACCTAAAATTAATGAATATCTATGTTGTACAATTGCCCTATTGGTTGTTATAAATAGTACATACATGTAACCCTTAACAAATAACATTTTCAAAGGATTAATAAAAAATCTAGACAAATAATCAATTTTTTTTTTAAATGGAGAATGAAATAACTAAATTTTTATTCTAAAATGATTGTGTTTTGTTATAGATTATAGTATGTAAAGATAACAAAATACCCAACAGGTGATATCCATTTATTATACGAGTATAAGATAAATGACAAAATAATTATATTATTATTTATGAAGGTAATACTTATAAAATACATACATTTACTATTTTATATTAATCTTTAAAACTTTCTATTTTATGTAATTTCCAAAGTTATGAAAAGACTTAATTTACAGACAATCCTGTTGTTTTAAGCACACAAAGAGTTAACAAAAACGAATAATTATTTCCCTGAATGAATATCAAAAATAAACGATGGGAAAAATACAACAAGTTAATAATTTACATACAAGGCTTATATGGGTATTAAGAATATTTTTTTGTTATCTAACATTGTTAAGCATGAGATCAACGAGTACGTCTATTACACACTAACTAATGTGAAATATATCAAAATAAAACGCTGGGCCTCGTTAATTCTCTTGCTTCGCTTCACACCTTTTAGCTGATCACCGACATCAAAGTCCACCGTCATAATACCTGTATCGCAGCTTTACGGTATCTTATATTCAAATTCTATCTAATACTAAAGAATAAACACTCTCAAGCCATTTTCCCTTTTTTCCTCGTAAAAATTGATCGCCTTGTTTTCCATGTGACTGATTTCGCCGAGAAAGCGAGATCGAACTACAACATCTGTTGATAGGCAAGCGCAAACAGCTTAATTTGTAGTTTCGTTTCATGTTATTTTTTACGAGACAAAACGAGTATTATGGACTTAATAATCGCGTCTATATTCAGTGTTGAACCATAGTTACCGGATTGCTCGAAATAGTCTTGATTAAGATAGTCTCTCAACCATCCCCTCGTCAAATTAGCCCGAAGTGGTGGCAAGTCTCACCGGAAACATATATTCAAAACAAAGACAATAAAGGCTACTTTATGAAGTCTAAAATGGCTATTTTCTCATAAAAAATGCATTTGGTGAATCCCAAATCTCGGTAAAACGCGCTAAAACAATAACCTCAGAAAGGAAACAAGGCAATGACTCGTGCCCCGAGGCGTGAATATAATTAATCGTTTGATAGGATAAAAACATTTAAATTTATGCCTACATCGTAACTGCATTACTTTAGTCGTTATAAACTATTAGTTTGTCAACACTTATTACCGGTTAGATAATCTAGTAGAGTTTTATGAACCCCCAAAACACTATCATGGTTACTTAATGCATAATACTCATTGGCTATACATCAAAACTAACACGACTTCTTCAACGAGTATCTAAAGTGCCCCGTTATCCTGCTGTTGACGCTTCTCTTGGACATATTCAGCAGCCTCGGGTCTTTTAGGAAATAGTTTTCAACTCGGTTCTACAATGTAATCCGATGGAATGTGCGAAAAGGGTGCCAAATGTAAAAGTGAAAAGGAAAACCGCAATTATTTCATGTCTGTGCTTCCACCTACAATAAATTTCATTCATATAAATATTCAGAACTGACCGTGTTTTTCTAAAAGATTTAATTTTCTAAAGAATTGTGATGAAAAGTAACATTTTAAGATTCTGAGGTTTCCGTTTTATAACAATAAGAAGTACCCAACAAAACAAAAGCCCACATAAATTCTTTGTTATATATAGAAGTGCCATTTTTTTTTTGACTGAAAGAAAGGGGAAATAGGGTCTGAAATTTCTATAAAATTGGTGGTAATGTAATATTTTTCCGGTAGGCATTCACTTTGTTTCTATTCTTCCTTACAATGATTTCAAATTTGTTCTTTTTTGAAAGTAGGAGATAAACTTTGTTAGGTATTTGGCAAATGGTGCCAATTGTGTCCTGCCTTAAATGAAGATTAGAACGACTGTGATACTGATAATTTTATTTTTAAAAAAGATGGGCGAAAGCCGTTGCATAGAAATATCCAAAGATGTAGAAGACTGTGTTTTTGTGTCGATACATTATTCTTCTCAGCCAGAAAATATATTTCGTATATCGCGAAGAGATCTTCATTTCTTGTGAGGTCCAATAACTGTTAGATGAAAGGGGCTCGTATATCACGAAAAGCCATAACGAGAGTGGGGAAACCGTTAACATTTCGTTGATGTACGTCTTTTGTAATGGCCGGGTTTCTGCTACGATCAAAGGCAGACGATAAGAAGAAGTCGTTCGTGCCATCCATGCATATAGTTATAGTATATTAGCAATACGGCAGAGTAATATATGCCGTCTCTCAACTCTGTAATGTTAGCGGTTAT